TTTTTTTTCCCTTATAAATTCATTTTTGTTACAAGCATCTTTTATACATATTACTAAAGGGAGTGCACTAAGAAATGCAAATAATAGTTCTTTATTTTATTATGACAGTTAATTAATAGCAACCTGTTTTAATGAATAAAGTCACTCAGAGTCCTTCAGCACTTCCTAAGTAGAGGCCAGAATCTGTAGGGATTCTTTTTTCCCCCCAATTGTATAGCTCCTAGACTCCGCGCACTATATAGGGCCTGTATAGAAATGCTCGCTAATGAAGAGGGAGGGCTAGGAACTTGTCTGCATTCAAAGATCACTGGTGAGTCATTCAGCGAGAAAAGGCCCCTTGCTAGGAATAGTCACAGTTCCGCGGCATTGTGCTAGCAAAAGGGTTTGATCAAAGGTCTCCTGCGGAGCTTGCATGGTTTCCTTTCAGCCGACGACCATAATTAAAACCACTAATTCTCTTTTAAAATGCTGCAGGATGCCATGTAGGCATCTGTCTGGAGTGTCCTTTGTGATGTCGGGAGCTGTTAAGGACCAGCGCCGAGGGCTTTTCAGCGACATGCCAGTCAGGAAGGTGATTCGACATAAGGGTGCCTCTGAAGGCTTGACAGGGCCTTGACTACACAATTCGAGCTGAATTTGCCCCTTGTCAGCTGCCAGTAAATAAATCTCAAAGGGGGAAAAGCTGAAGTTTCATTACCTGATCCCCGGGGCTTTGTTGGTTTTGGCATCACACAGGGGGAAGCCCTTGCCCCTTGGGTCTGGGGATCTGAAGATGTCCATTGGAGCCCGGAGCGGCGGGCAGGGTTCAGCGCGGGGCCGTTTGAAGACTGTCAATAGTTGTAACAGTTCAGCTGTTAGGAAGACAAATAAATGGAAGAGCCCATTAATCCCCTTTGGGTACTCGGTGCCTTTTGCCCTTTTATCACAGCCTTATTAGGTTCCTACTCATCTTGAACCGGGGGGGAGGGGAATGAATTGAAGTTGTTGAGTGCTAATTGGCAAAGACTTTTAATCATGGGCCAAGAACTTTCACTGACTTGAAAGTAACTTCGCCACGGGGAAGATCAGCGAATTCTTGGTTTGCCATTAAAACAAAACCGAAAAATCCCATTGGGATTCAGTGCAGTGTTTAAAAAAAAAAAAAAGAAACAGGCAACCGGTAAATTGTTGGGCTTGTCCTTCGTGAAGATGTTGGTGACTTATATTTGCTGTTTAAAGGAGAATCATGGAGCCACACACCAAATGGCGCAATCGGTCCTGAGACAGAGTTGAAGTCTGCATGTCTGCTATGCGTATGTGACATTACCAAAACCCACTCGAGGGCTGGTCTTCCAGAGGCAGGGTGGGAGATGTTTTGTAACATGGCAAAGTTGTTCTTGGCGATCTGCAACCGCTCGCGTGCTGAGCAGAGAGGTCCTGGGGTTCCCATATGCCTGGGGGGCGAGTCCTGCGGTGGGAAGCTGCCTGAATTCAATCCCAGACTTCGTGAGAAATTATTTATAGCCAGGATGTATCTCGCTGTGGAGGTACTTGCATGTTCTCACGTAAGTCACTTTTTAAAATTGGTTTTGTTGACTATTGCATTAATTTGAATGCACCTATTGCTCTCTGTCCCCACCTGCCCCTTTTGCAAATGTTAAATAAAGAGTGAAACTTCGGCCAGATCATAGGAGGCTTTCATGCTTGGTAAGTGAAAATCTCTTGGTCCACCAGGCCTGAGAAAGACCAGGTCATAGGTTTAGAGCGCTGAATCGTCTCGCTGTGTTTCCCAGCCTCAACGTTTGGGAAAGTCACTGAATGAGGCCCCCATCTTCAGGCCAGCATTGCCCACCTGGATCCATGCTCGTGCCTGCTCACAACACCGGCATGGCTCCCCAGCCCCAACGGCCCTGGTGTTTGTGGCCGACGAGCCCTCCCCAGCGACCGCGTCCCGTTTCCAGGGGATGCCGGGAACGCTGGAAGGACGAGGGCTTGGCACATCATTACATGAGCAAACACGCAGCTAAAGCTGCTGCAACGATCATGATATCAAATGAAGACATCATTGTCAGTACCCTCTAAAAGTCTGTTTAATTTGGATCTGCCTGACAAAGCTAAAGCGAGCGCTAACCCCAGACCAGCCTTCCCCCTGCCAGGGCTCGGTAAACCAGGGGTTTCTGCAAGAACCGACTGGGCTTTTAGGCCCCCAAGCGCCCTTTGGCTTTCTCTTGGCTTTAGCTGAGCCCCTGCGAGCGGAGCCAGGTTTGTCTTTGGTGGCTCCACTCAAAGCTATGAGCGTCCCCACATCATGGCTGTTGTGCCGAGGAGGTCGGGTGTCTCAGGGGGCTTCTGGTGCGTCCGTGCAGTTAAACCTGAGCTGAGGTGGCCTTGAGGAGGGCATTTCCA